AGTAGTAGTAGTAGTAGTAGTAGTAGTAATAGTAGTAGTAATAGTAGTAGTAGTAGTGGTAGTAGTAGTGGTAGTAATAGTAGTAGTAATAGTAGTAGTAATAGCAGCAGCAGCAGCAGCAGCAGTGGAAAAAAAGGCAGACAGGGTTTCTAGAGACAGATAGACAGGCAGACAGAGACTATTCAGTATCTCATTATACAACACTGAAACAAGCTCTTTTTTCTTCCTCCTTCCTTCCTCTTCTCTCCCTCTCCCACACACCTCCAGCCGCCGCAGTGGCTGCCCCCGGACCCGTGGCCCCGCCCCCTCCTCAACAGCCCAGTATGATGGCGACGGTCCCACAAACAGCCCCTCCACCGCCGCCCCCTCCTCCTACACAGGGCCCTGCTCCAGCCTTCATGTTCACAGAGCCCAACTACACCCTGCCTTCCACCCCAGGTGAGTTGCTTTTTGATTTTCTTTTCTTTTGTTTTTTAAAGTAAGTGTTTTACGGCGTTCACAACTGCATTAGGTCACATGAGCGTGATGGACACATTAAACATTTTCTGTTTGGTAGAAATTTTGAATTTTGATCGGGCGGCGGCCGAAGCCTACTCTTATCGATTTTAGACCGCGAAGGGATCTTTAACGTACGCAACTTGCACACAGGCCTCTGAGATTTTTCGCTCTTATCCGAGAAGGGTAGGTGTTAGATCTTACCTGCCTTAAGATCCGGAGTGTGACTGAAAGACAGCAGTAGGAAGGAGCCAAAGAGTAGCAGTAGAAAGGCTGCAGGAAGAGTCAGGAGCCCAGGCCTTTTGATTTACCAGGAATACCTGGAGGTGTCATCTCTGACTCACAGGTTGATGTGTATTGAACTTCCTTCCTCCACGGTCACGAGCTACCTTTGCACATTCTGCTATACCCAGGCCAGTCCATGCTTTTTAATGTTGTCTCACCAATTCTTTTGATTTATAAAGAAAATAGTAAGATTTTACGATCTTTACAAAAACACATTAGGGTTATATAAGTACTGAAGATTAGAGGTGTTACAAGAGAGTAACATACGCAAAAAAGAAAGAGATAAGAACGATAGATTTTTGATAAGAAAGAATGAGTAAACTGCACTCTGATATTAGTGATGATGATGACGGAGCTGATAATAATAATAATAA